TCCCAAGTAAATTTTTGTTTGCTGATCCCTTGAAATTAAACTAATTGACAGGTTCAACTATACCTTGAACAATGGAAGTTCAACTTAAAAGAGGTTCAACTCCACAATTATAATGTACATGTTATTATGAAAGAAAAAATTCAAGAATCAACTCACCCATGGTCAGCGTCACGATCACAAGGATCAATAAAAAGTTCATCTTCCTCAGCAAACTCCCCATCATCTATATTTCCTGCAAATATGGATAGAAAAATCAAAATCTGCAAACAGTAGGTTGATACACCTCTGAAGTGTTGCCAAAATGATGTATATGAAACTTTAGAAAATTTGGAATTTTCGACACTGGTCGGTTTGATATAATTCTGAAATTCTCAAGACTCATGAAACAGCCCGCCTCACTTACATCATTTCTGTGAAATTCATTATTATCTTTCCACAGCTGAGGAGCGACAAAAAGTATTCACTACTGTATCTCTTATATACATGCATCAATGTAACTCGTAAATGTTTTTACGTCGACTCTCAACTTGTGATATATAAAAGGAGTTGGTGGATTTCCAACAGTATTTCACGGGGCTGATATTTTATAGACACTATGATAAAAACGTATTCGTCGCGCAAAAGACGAAACACTGACAAACGATGAGTTTCCAACTCATTCCTTGCTGATGGAATGGAAAAAAAAACTCTGAAATGTGTGGCCACCGAGTGACAGATCCCCCCGTTTTATGTCGACTCGAATTCGTGTTTCGTTTCTTATCCTCTTACTTTCCAACGAAGATGACAGAAAGAACACGAAAGACACACATCATCATTGCATGGCACCGATATATTGTACAATGAAACGAATTTTACGAAAAAAAAACTGAGAAGCGAGGACAATCGAAGGAGAAGGAGCAGGTGGAAGACGAAACGAAAACACGAAACCAATTAACTTTGCCTCACTGGCTTCTTTCTTCCAACGAATTTTCTCGCTGTTTTTCTGTCAGAATTTCTCCAGAGGGGGAACTTTATTTTCTTTCGATGTCATTGGAGTTTCGAGAAAATTGCGACTTTTCTGGTCACTTCTATTATAAATCCGTCATTTATACACACATGCAAAATAGGTTCATGCTCATCAGCAGTTCACTTATTGCTGAGACCAGTCTTGGGGGAGGATTTCTCATTCTTCTGCATGCTGTGACTATATACAGTGAGATCCCCGCATGTGGACACCTCAACATGTGGACAATGTGGGTTAAATACACCCAAAAGAGGCGGAAATCTCCTCTATAGTAGAAGGCGAATCAGTGACCGATTCTTAGTGAAGCCTCATCCCTTATAGACGCAATGTTGAAGGTCCATTATTTGGACCCTCCTCGCCAACCAAATCAGTTCGGATGGATTCCACGCGACAGCTAGCGACGCTGTGTGGCGTGGCGTAGTTGGTAAGGAGCTGGGCCTTCACGCGGGGTACAGAAGTTCACATCCCTGCGTCGGCGTTTTCTTTTTCCGTTTCCCTGAAAACATATTATTTTCTGGTTCACTCAATTCTTACTGTAAAAATCGGAAAAAAATTTATGTGAACGTAAAATTTAATTTCGCACACTTTTTATCCTCATATATTTTTGAATATTTTCGTAAGTTTTTGAGTAAAAATTGACTTCAATCAATTATTTTTTGCAAAAGGTATTCTTTGTCGTAAAACATATTTATTTTTCATTCACTCAATGTTGATCAAACAAATTGGCACAAAATATATTTTAACTAGAAATTGTATTGCGCACACTTTTCAACTGAATTTAATTTTTGATACGGTTGTAAGTTTTGGGTAAAAGTGACTTTAACAAATTCTTTTTTGCGAAGTTTTTCATCATTGTAAAAAATATTTATTTTTTGTTTGCCGAATTTAGTCTGAAAATTTGAAATAAAACTTCATTAAAACGTAAAATGCATCTCCGCACACTTTTTATCATATTGTACTTATTATTATTCTTGTAAATTTAAGAGTAAAATTCACTTTTATGAATCATACTTTTTAAACATTTTTCATCATTCTGCACCATATTTATTTTTCATTCACTCAATTTTCATTAAACAATTAGCACAAAATGCATTTGATTACGAAATAAAATTACGTATACTTTTCAATCGAATTTATTTTTTGATACGGTTGTAAGGTTTTGATTAAAATTGACTTCAATTAATTTTTTTAAGAAAGGTTTTCTTTGTCGTAATAAAATTGATTTTCATTGACTCACTTTTAACTTTAAAAATTTGCACAGAACGTACTTGAACTAGAAAATGTATCACGCACACTTTTTAACTGAATGTATTTTCTGATACGGTTGTAAGTTTTTTAGTAAAAGTGATTTTAATAAATTATTTTTGAAACATTTTCTTCATTGTAAAACATATTTATTTTTCATTCACTCAATCATCATAGAAAAATTGGCAAACATATATTTGAACGCATAATGTAATTCCGCACAATTTTTATATGCATGTTATTTTTGATATTGTCGTTTGTTTTTTAGTAAAAATGACTTTTATAAAATATACTTTTTTAACGTTTTTCCTCTTTGTAATACAACTTTATTTTTCATTCATTAAATTATGATTGAATAAATCTTAAAATAACGTATTTGAACCGGAAATTGAATTATGCACAATTATTAACTGAATGTATGTTTTCATACGGTTATTTGTTTTTCAGTAAAAGTATCTTCAATAAATACTTTTTGATAACTTTTCCTTTTATTATAAAACATATTTGTTATTTATTCACTCATTTCTGACCATAAAAATTAAAACAACTCTTATTTCAACGTATAATGTAATCGCGCACACTCTTAAAATGAATGTATTTTAGATACTGTTGTAAGTTTTTTAGTAAAAGTCACATTAAAAAAGTATTCCTTGTGACGTTTTTCATCATTGTAAATAATTTTTTCTTTTTTGTTCACTCAATTTCGATTGCACAAATTAGACAAAACTACATTTGAGAGTCAAATGCAATTGCGCACAATTTATATGTTCATGTTATTTTAAATATTGTCGTTAGTTTTTTTATAAAATTTACTTTAACAAATTATTTTTTTCGGAAGGTTTTCTTCATTATCAAACATACTGTACTTATTTTTCATTCAGTCAATTTCAAGTGAAAAAATAAACATAAATAACCCTGTGGATCAGTGGATGGAATTCAGGAATTACAGTACAGTATATCGAAGGGCTGCACGAAAGAATTTTGTAAGTGCGAAATCTTTAGGGAGTTAGAAACGACATCTACATACTTCAGTATGAAACGCTGCCTTCCGTAATTTATGATTGCCCGTTGTGGAACGCGCGCTACGAATCTGCCATGAAAAGTCACACAAAGAACGGCATCCGGGGGAATGTTGCGTATACAGTATATAGTAGCATGTGACTATGTTCTGCAAATTCGTCATTTCAGCCTTCTGCAATGTCAAACATTCTGTCGTGATTAGGTTTCAATTCGTGATGTGTTGATTACCCCGTCGGGAGTTCCTAGTATAGTGCGTCGATGAAATCACGGGATGATGAACGGATGAAGAGGTGCTGGAAAACTTGTGTTATTTACGAGGGTTAGAGTGTAATTATCGCGACAGTTTCGAATGAACAATCCCAAAATTTTCAATTTCACAATCTAACTGAATCTTCTCGTTACTAAAAATGGATATTCCGTGTGCTCCGATCAGGTTCAAGAAGGAAGCCATCAACATTTGAAGTCCGCACGCATCGCATTCTTCCTAATCCCGAATAACTCAAATCTGTGCCGAAGAACTCGCTTCGTTCTACCGCAAGCATCAGCATGCTGTGCAGTATAATGTATAGGCTTTCGAATAAGAATGAGAAAAGATGGGATCATCAATGCATTACTTAAATATATCACTGCTGAATCGACACCTCGGGATATCTGCTTCGTGCTGGAGGATTCAACTGTTACCATTTTCGTTTCTGGTAATTTACGAAGGTGTGCTGAATATGTTCATGCGCGTGGTTTCCTGTCACATCGTGAACTTGTGTGATCCTATGCTTATTGTATTCATCAGTAAGTTCGATCAAAAATTTGTTTGGAGTTCATCAAAATCTGACATTGAATTGCTTGTTCCTCGCGAGAGTAATCACAGGAATAATTTTCCGGAATAACATCGGGACGGGCGAAATTGAAACATGAACGAAACGTCGGCACAACAAAAATCAATCACTGCTGCTCAATATCGACCTTCGTACAATTCCTTCGTGGACGATATTCATCATCTGTCTTCATTTTCGTATTGGATAATTCATGGAGACGTGCTCGAATATGCTCGTGCACATCCAGCAGTGGCTTCCCATCAGATCGTACTCCTGTGTTATTTGTGTATATTCATCATCAGTACATTCGAAGATAACATGCTTTCAGTTCGTATGGACCTCGTCTTTTTATAATCCTACATCGATTTTCTTGTTCCTCGAAAATAATCACACCCAAGGTTTTCCTCAACATCGCGACGGGTGCTTGAAACGAAACAATAACCGATCATCCTCACAACATCAAAAATCTACCACTGCTCAACCAAATCTCGACAAAAATTGAAATCTATCACCGCTCGAACTACTCCGTGTTGCGATTTATTGGTAATTCAGGATTATTGCTTGTGCATGATGGTTGATTCGACTGTCTTCATTTTTGTATCAGATAATCCATGTATGATGAGATGTGCTTGAATATGCTCATGCGCATTGGTATCCCGTCAGATAGTGATTTTATGTGATGCTTATTCATCATCCGTAGGTTGGAAAAGAAAATACTTTGAGTTCATGCGCATCACATCTTCGTCTAATTTCGATTTGCTTATTGTTCCGCGGGAATAATCACACCGAATCTTTTCCGTAACATCGTCGGGACGGGTATACTATTGAAACATGAACAAAGCAACCGATCATCGTCAAAACATCAAAAATCAATCACTTATTGTTCGAACGAATCTCAACACAAAATCAACAGTCACGTATCAAACCTCATCAGGCGAGACGTGCTTCGTGAAAGAGTTGACCACCTTCGGAAGTAACTTGGAGCTGATGCTGAGACTCAGTGGCTTCTCCTTTTCGTGCTTGTGCTTGTGTTTCTCCTTGTGCTTCTCCGTGTGTTTGTGCTTGTGTTTCCTCGTGTGTTCGTGTTCGTGCTTCTCCTTGTGTTTGTGCTCGTGTTCCTCCTCCTCCTCGTGTTTATGCTTGTGTTTGTGGTCCTCTTCGTGCTTGTGTTTGTGTTTGTGCTCGTGCTTGTGCTTGTGCTCGTGTTCGTGCTCGTGTTTGTGCACGTACTGCATCACCCTGGGGGAGTAGTAAATTAATCCACGATTTTTCAATTAGCTCGCACGAAAAATTACACGTATAAAACGCGTTTATGCTTTACGTGAAATACACAGAAATATACGACGGAAGGCAAATAAAGTGATACAGCACTTGTTAGTGATTTTTTTGTGCGTGAAAAACTTACTTCGAAGGTTTCTTCTTCTTTTTTGAGCTCCTGAGCAGCAATTCACCGTTACCCTCTGGTGAACCGTGGGAACTGTGGGCCACTTCTTCAGCCGCTGGCAACTTTTTCTCTTCTGGCACCTCTTCACTGTGTGGTTCATCTCCAGGGGAAGGAAAACCAAGGGTGGAAACTGCCATCAGGAGACAGGCCAATAAGAAAACCTGTTGAAACACATACTTTTCATCACTCTTTGCGCATATGACAGGCAAAATTGAGTTTTTTATACAGTGAAATCTCATTGCAACAAAACCATTGCTAAGAGAAAAAAATGCATATTGTTATTACTGTTGGGCAATTAATTGGTGAGCAATAATGTATAAAACATTTTTACCTACTTTGGATTCAATTCCAATGGACAAGCGTCAAATGTGACTTTGGGAGTCTCCAAATTGAAGGAACAATCATTTTTGTTCAAAAACCCTTCAAAACAAACATTTGCAGGTGTTCCAAAAGTTTTTTTCATGGGGGGTTTCAGAAGTTGATGTAATGTGCCTTGAATATGTGTCTGACATTTTGTCAAACAGCAGTCTTCTAAAAATGCCTTTGTCAAAAATGTGTGATTAGGCATAATTTCAGAAATTTGGTCTTACTGATGTTTCCAGTCACAAAACTTGTGTAATTTTTCAATTTGCAACAATATTTATTAAATTTTAACCTCTTTAGGCCAAAGTCCAAGGGAGTTGACTTGGGGAGATTTTGAGCTATTGCAGACAATAAAATTTATATATTTCTAAAAAGAAGAATTAGAGCAAGTGGAAATTATACATTATTGCCCCTAAACAACCTTTTTGAAAGAAGGTGACAGGATGCAAAACTTTGAGTCAAGGGTTTATTTGCCCAAATATTACTGCATTTGCTTTCACAAAGCATCAAACTAGACATATTGATTGTTTTTCCCTTTCCTAGTTCACAAAAAATTGGGAAAATGCCTTGAAATTTTGAGTTCAGAGGCTTGAGGGGAAAGCCTGTGAGTTAGGGGGTTTTTTGATGAATTGATCCTAGGGTAATTCATCAATTGGTTTCAACTGTAACAATATTATTTTTAATTAGATTCTACTGTATCCAGAATAATATGACCCACTCACTGTCTTCATCATGGTTGACACGAAAAAGAAAAAAGCCTTGTAACACTTTCAACACCTGAGGGAAGCTGAAACCAGTCTGGAGTCCTCAGTGTTTGATGCACTCTGGTTTTTATACAGAAACCCAAGTGCTGTGACATAATCAGCACTGAGTTAATTTAGGAAAGGTAGGAAGTGTATGCATGGTCCCTTGACTCAGATATGAAAGCATGCAGCAACTGTTTTCACTGGTATCAGGCATCTCCTGATGATGATATCAGATGCCTTCTCAACAGTTGGAGCTTTGCACATATTTCAAACATGAGAGGGTTGGTTCATAAGTTTTGAAAATGTTTCAAATAAAGTCAGACCCAGACACCCCAGAATATGGATGATTCAACTTAGAGACACCTGGACCAGAAATTACAATTTTACAGAATTTAAAAGTGGCATCTTTCCAGGTTTTTGTATTTTGTCATGAAATTGAGTTACTGTATTTATGTTTTAAAATGTTGCAAATGAATATCCTTTTAAAATCACCTGAGGGTGCCTGATCAATTATTTTGAACAGAACTTGATTTTTGGCAATGGTTTTGATTTTTGGATTTATATTGCATGAAGAAATGCATTGAAATTGGCAGAGAGTATGTTGAATGACACCCAAGTGTTGCCAAATGATGTGGCTGTTAGTGTAAACTTCAATTGTTTTTGCTATATTGGAAATCTATTGGATTCATTTTGAAGAAAGTCCCAAAAATTATGAACAAACCCTCATGAATGAGCCAATTCCTTCTTATTTTTTCTTCTTCTCCTGCTATTGCATGGAATGAAGTAATACAGTATTATAGCTGGTACTCTGTGAACTTGAATTCACCACATGGATTCACTCACCTGACCATGAGTAAAGCAAGCTCTTGAGTTTCATGGTTGACCAAGTGTGTCTTGTTTTTGTGGGGGGCTGTGTGAGTATAAATGTCAACACAAGAACCCTTCAGAGCATCAGTTCATCCACAGCAGCAACTACTCAAGAAAAATCAAGTAAAAGCATTCCAAAGAATATCAAGAAAAAAATGAATAAGGTGAGTGGAACTTGATTTTTGAAAATGTTGTTTTTTATAGTCAGTGCTTGAGTGATAAAAATCTGATGTGATGGTGTTCTTGCAGGTGATTGTGTTGTTGTTGCTGGCAACATTTGTGTATGTGGCCAACTGTGATCCTGAGCCAAAGGCCAGCCCTCTTGCATTTCCTGGCAGTTCTTCCAGCAGTGGATCAGCTCTACCTAAAGAAAAGCCAAAGTATAACCCTTATCTTGACTTTAAAAATTACATTTGGATCCTCATTTGAGTTCAAATTAGCAAAAGACCACTGTAAAACATGTTTTGCATGACATGTTTTTTGTCAAAAAAGGGACTCATACATAAATGTTTTCTGTGCAAGAAAGGCTTGCATTTCAGAATTTTTGAAATTTATTTCAAAAACAAATCAAAGATTGTGCAAGAAAAGAGGAATGGGTTAGTGTTACCTTTTCATGCTTCAAGAATTCTGAATTTCAAAGAATTGAGAGCTAAACATGTTTATATTTTGACTGAAGCACAATGGAACACTTCTAAAGCATCTGTAAAAGATTTCATCTGAGTTTCCTAAACTTTTCAAATAATGTCCATCATATTCAGCATAAAAACCCGTTTTATAATTGATTTATAGATTTACTCAGGTATCACACATGCATTTGTAAAAAAAGCAAACAATTGTGGTAAAAGTCTCAAGAACAATTCAAAATCCTGTCTTTGATTCTTGTTTTCAAAAATCATCTCACAAAATTCCAGCTTATTTGAAAAGCAACAATAAATGAAGAAATGTATTCGCTCAAATATGTTATAAAATCAATGTCATTCAAATATTAAACATACAAATGAAAATAATAATTTTCCATTCATAAATTCATATTTTCATCTCTGAAGTTTTTGCTAAATAATTATATTTCAATTCAGAGAAGTGATAATTTAACAGGATTTTAGAACAATTCTAAAAAATCCTTTTGCTTATACTGTACATTATTACCTTAAGGGTGTATAAAAAAAACGAGGTAGATGAAAAAATAATAGACTTGAATATAAAAGCTGAAATCCATGTAATTCAAATATTATACTCAAATAAAAACTATAAGCTTCCATTTGAAACAAATTGATGTTTTCATCTCTGAAAAATTTGAAAAAAAATTATATTGTAGATACTGTAAAAGTGTAAATAAAGTGGCAATATACCAGGATTTTACAAGACTTCTCTTTTTTTAAATCCTTGTGCTTGGCTTACTTGGAAATATGTTTTTTTCAAATTCTAAGTATTAGTATTTGCATCAGGAACATAATATTTGTTAATTGTCCCAGTAAATTATATATACATTTTTTTCTTTTTTGTCATACAGTATTGTGTTGTTCCAAAAATATACAGGGTGATCAAGTACAAACACAAACACACCCACTCCCACAAGCACAACCATGAGCATGAGCATAAGCACAAGCACAAACATGGCCATGGACACAAGCATGAACATGACCACAAGCACAAGCACAAGGAGGAACACAAGCACAAGCATGACCACAAACACAAGGAGCAGCACAAGCACAAACATGAGGAGAAGCACAAGCATGACCACAAGCACAAGCACATCAAGAAAGTGAAGCCAAGCAGCAGTAGCAGCAGCAGCAGCTCTGGATAAATATTTTAAAAACTGAATGACTCTCAATTGATGATGAACATATTGGCTGTCACAAAATGGGAATGAAATGAAATGGAAATTGTATCATGCTTGAAGGGAAAAATTAATTTATTTTTTTGCTCATGATGTGATGGAACTTGTTATTTGTCCTTGGTGTGCTTTTTTGTTTGGTTACCTTACTATATGGGTCATCTTTGTGTTTGTCTTCAAGTGTGTGAGAAAATATATACAGTTTATGGTTTAAATTACTGAAAGCGTATTGTTTTTTAAATTGTTTTTGGTTCTTCTTATGGTGGACTTTCTCTTCAATGAAACTCAAGGGAACAAAAAAATCATTGTATTTTCATTACAGGGCACCCCTGTAACATGGGTATAGAGCAGAGTGCCCCAACCTGTGGTCCACAGATTGGTGCCATTCTGCAGAAGTTTTTTGCCAGTCTGCTGGAGATTTTCAGCAGAATAAATTCTTCAGAATTTGAAATTATTTTGGTTATGGTTTTATGATAGTTTGGAAAGACAATGGCATCAGTTAAAACTAACTGATTAAAATGAAAGTTTGCTTTTCCCTTAATAATACAAGAATACTTTTCACCTGCTGAAATGAATTATTTCTGGTTTCTCTCCTGGGAAACCTTTTTTTGAGCCCAGCTTTTTAATTTTTAAGACACTTCACTATAGCTACTTCAATGGTTCTTGACTTGATTTTTGAAATGGAAGTTTTGTTTGGAAGACTCTATGGGAGGTATTTAAAACTTTTTCTGCTGGTCTAGGCAAACATTTTATGGAAATATGCTAGGAAGCAAGAAATTTTAGGGGAAAATGTGCCAGTCTGTGGGTCCAAAAAGGTTTGGGAACATTGATATAGAGTAATAGAGAACCCCATGCCTATGCATGGGATCAAGTAAACATTAGTTACACAAGGAAAGTTGTTGTATAGGCAAGACCATTGTAGATAGAGTTGACCTGTAATATTTTCAGTTCCAAAAGAACTTTGAGCATTTTAATGAAGAGCAGAAAAGATTACTTCATCATTCTCACATTAAACACATAAGAAATTGACAAATTTTTGCACATAAGGTTTGGAATTTTTTTAGTTGATGAAAAGCATCACAACATAATGTTTTCAAAATGATGATAGATGTGTATTATTTACATAATAATGCACAACAATCAAAGTATACTTTAACATTAAATATTTATATTTAAATTTAAAAAAAAAAGTAGAATACTGTAAAATTTCATTACAATGAAATTCTACAGTATTCTATGGTCTTCTGACTGACAATCTGAATAACCAAGCTCATGTATTAGGGAAAATTTCAGTAATATGTGGCAAATTTGTTTGAATGCTGTGTTTGTAAAGATATTGATTTATATTTACACCAATTTGTTTATGATGGTAGAATCAAATTTTCCTTCCAGCAATTTTTGGTTACAAGTAGAAGTTTATGGTAATTGAACTGAAAAAGAAAGTTTTGTTCAAGCTCTCTATGTTGAGGTACTCTTTCTAAATCACATTTATTTTCAACCACTCCAAAAAGTCTACTAAAAAGTTCTCCACAAACAAAACCCATGAATATGTTATCAAACTTTAAACTTACAAATTTTAAAAATTACTCACAATGTGTCAATGTACTCAATGGTGACTGTAAGTGGTACTGTATGTCCTGTTCCCACAAAATAGTGTGCTCTGAAGAATCTCTGTAATGTTTTCCCTACTAAAAAGTAAAATAGGAGATCATTGCATGCAATGATCAACAGCTGATTGACAGCTTCCATTTCTCATGGCAACAAATGTGCAAAGAGAAAACTCAATATACATGCTTGAATGCATATTTAAAAAATTCTTGTGGGAGTTCCAGTGTGATTTTTCCTTGCATGAGTAAGTTAGAGTGTCAACATTAGAATTAATTTTTTTCAATTAGTATAAGCACAGAAAATATTAAAGTTCTGCTCCTGAAAATGGAAAAAGATCCACCAATTTTTGCATTGGGGTATTGTTGCTAATAGATATATTACTTATTGTTATATATTACTATAGTATACTTATACAGTACAGCATGTATAAGTAACATTATTTATTTATACAGTACAGTATAATATATTATTTATACTGATAATTGTTGATTTGTTAATTTCTGAAGAACAAGCATTGATGAATTTTTATATATTTATAATTGTTTATGAATTCAGGATCAGTGGTGAAATGAAAAGGCTCACAGCTAATATTAAGCAACTCCTCTTAAACTTGAAATTAAATATTGTTTGATCAAAGCCTGTGATGCATTAATTATTTGATGAATTCTGGAACATGTCATTCAGAAATATAAATAATGCATTGAAATTCTGTGATTGGTTCAACATTTTTGGCTTTCATTCCAAATTTCTAATGGATGCCTATGACATGTTCATGTATGTACATATCAGGAGAATTCAAAGTTTCTGAGAGAAATGATTTTGAAACTCATCAAATTCTGCACACATTTACACTTTTTTATTTCTGCTCATAAACATGAAGCACAATAAATATCCAAGCTCACAACAGTGCCAAAATGATTGGGATAGAGAGCATCCATGTCATGCATGTGCATCATGCAAGTCATTCCACTTGACTTTAAAATTTCCAGGTAGATGCCTTATTGCATTGCCAACATTCCTGCCATCTTTGGAGTCCATCTTGTTGAGTCATCAGGTTGATTACCCAGAGCTGTAAAAAAAATCATCCACTAGAAATTGAGATTTATGACCAAAATGGCTCTTTAAATACCTGCTGCTGCTGCTGCTGCTTGGTGCTGGCTCCACTTTCTTGTGTTTATGCTTGTGTTCATGCTTGTGTTTCTCCTGATGCTTGTGTTTGTGCTGTGCCTTGTGTTTGTGGTCATGTTTGTGCTTGTGTTCTGCCTTGTGCTTGTGTTTGTGGTCATGGTTGTGCTTGTGTCCATGGTCATGTTTGTGCTTGTGCTTGTGGTCATGCTTGTGTTTGTGTTTGTGGGTGTGGGTGTGCTTGTGTTTGTACTTGATGACCCTGTTTTTGAAAGACAAAGAAAACCATCAATTCCAGCAACAATAAATGTAAAAAAAATAGTCCTTACTTTGGTTTTTTAGAGGTAGCAGGAGCTTCTCCACTGGAGCTGCTGGAAGAACTGCCAGGAAATGCAAGAGGATTGGCCTTTGGCTCAGGATCACAGTTGGCAACATACACAAATGTTGCCAGGAACAACAGCACAATCACCTGCAACATTATATTTTGCCATCACATAAAATGTTTTTTTCACTGAAAGTCAAGTTTAACTTACCTTATTCATTTTTGTTCTTGGAATATTGTTTGAAATGGTTTTTTTTTACTTGGATTTCTTGAGTTGATGCTGGATGAATAACTGATGCTGTGAAGGGCTCATGGACTTGTTTATATATTTGCTGGCTGGCTCATGGATGCATGGAGCATAAAAAAAGATGATGTCATGGTCAAAGACTTGCAGATAATTATGTTGGGTAGCAGATGAGTTTCAAAATGCTCATCATTGACTAAAAAGAGCATTGGATCCACAAGAGCCTGGAAATTTCCCTTTTTACTTAGCTATTTTGGAGCCTTATGAGTATCAGACTTATTTTGGGTTCAATTTATGTAAGTACTAAACTCTTATTTTGGTTGAGTGTATTGTTAGCATTATGCAGTTGAATAACCTTGAAAACTTGAATCTTTTTGATTCAAGTACAGTACCTACTTATGGGAACAACTTTGAAGTTCTTGTTTGAAATTATTTAGAAAATTATTAAAAACCTTTCTAAGTAAAGATTTCCCCCTCAAATACCTCAACTTTCATTTATTGGAGGAATTTTGGATATTATGTGTACTTCTGCTGTGATTTTTGGCCCAGAAAAATGAAAGGAATTATGAAAATGTAAATTGGGGATTTTTGAAAGGAAATAGAAGACTATTTGGGAAAATGTGTGCCCTTTTCTTCAAGTTCAGTTTATTATCCTGTCAACTTCTTGAAAAGGCAATTTTGGGCAAAAAAACTGCATCAATTCCAACTTTCTTCAATATTCTTTTTTCAAGGCAAAAATGGTAGTTTATTCCACTCTGACCATGCCAAAGTCAAAATGTTTTCTGGTTTCTTGGAATTTGACTTGAAAGCGGTTCAACTGTTATAAATATTAAGCTCTAATTTAAAAATTTGGACTAACACTTTTTTGTAAGGATTTTTCAAATGACTTTGGAAAAATACCTGCTGGAATCACCAATAAACCAATTTTTCTGCCGTTGATGTCAAACAGATATTTTTACAAGGCCTTTCCAGTAGACTGATTTTTTATTGTCAAAAAGTAAATATTCAAAGCACATCATTTAAAGTTCTGAAACAGTTACCATGAAAAATAATTTTTGAATGTGTTGTCCAATATGTATTTCACTGCTGAGTTAAGTTATTCTGTCCTTGGCACCTTTATTGTATACATTCAAGTTGATGATGGTAATTCAGTAACGTTTTGTTCATTAAACAATTTTCCTTGCCCTTGAGGAAAAAATTCACAATATAACAGTTGCATAACCTTCACACACACACACACAAAAAAGCTGAGCAGAGTCATTCACCTGATTATTCACATGAGCTCTCATGCTCAGCAAAATCAGATATCTTGTTCATCAGCTGAAGTTTCTGAGGATGATGATGCTGCTTGACTGCCAACCTTAACAAAGACTCTGTGCATGATGTCATCACAATTATTACCTGCTCCTCCTCCTTTTTTTTTTAATCCTGTGACATTTCATATAAAAGCTGGTGGACTTGCCAGGAATCAGCATCAGTACAGCTTCAGTGGTTCAGCAGTGAACAGCAGCAGCTCAGTTTGGGAAAATATACACAAATATCTGCTCCATTATTGTAACTCATCATCATGAGAATGGTGAGAAGGAATAATTTTCAAGAGATTTTCTGGAATTGCTGTTTTTTTTGTTTTTTTTTTTTTGTGTGCAGATGTGTCACTTGCTGTTGGCTGTGATTGCCATCACAGCAGTTGGTGTCCATGGGTTGGTTCTCTCACAACCAGTTGAATCCAGTGTCCCTGCTGCAGAGGAGACACCTATTACAGGTGACAAGCTGAATCTTGAGCATGACACCACTTTGGTACACCATGAAGAACCTTCTGCTGCTGGGGAGCCAAGATCTGATTTGCCAGAGATTCAAGCCAGTTCTTCTGGTGGTGCTGTTGGTGTGGCTGCTGCTTTGAGCAGCTCTGGTGGTGGTGGAGAAAAAGCCAAGTGAGTGTCTTGTGAATATATAAATACAGTGTGGATCCTTGCTGCTCAGTTTAAAAAAAGAACTTTTTGGTCTCTAAAAGGAATCCCTCAGTTAACAGACCAAAATTTGGTAAACAAACTTTTGATTTCCAGGAAAAATATCTTGGTCAACAAAGTTTTTTTTCTGGGTGAAAATCCCAAATTCAAGGATGAAAAATTTGATTTGATGCTGGTATTTATGCACAAATAATTAACCTATGCTCTGATATAAAAAATTCCTTCCTCCAGAGAATTCAGGTGTTCTTGTGTTTTAAAATTTGTTTGAGCTACATTATTCATATGCTTTTTCTATGACAGAAACATTTTGCTTTTCTGTGCTTGGTTTTATTAGTTGTTCAATTGTTGGAAAGGTCTAAATTTGATCTTTACTTGCAGCATGAAGAAGATAAATTTAATTTTCACATGACAAGTATCCTCCAGTGTGTGTTTTTCAAAATGTACAGTTTTTTCATCTTTTTTTCATCAGTGCTGCTTTTTCAAAACATTCTGGGCACATACAATAAGATGCTACAACAACTTATTCTGTTACAGTTGATGGTCTTGAATTTTATATATACACATTTTTCAATTGAGTTTTGGGTGCATGGAATGAATTAAATTATTCCCAATTGTAATAGTCTATGATGGAGATCAAATTTGCTTGTCTGGAACCAATCAAGTTTATTAATTGAATATCCATTGCATGAAATACTTGAACTATATGTATAATGATGCTATGCTTTTTTTTTTTACTTATCAGGGTCCTCAAGTACAAGCACAAGCATAACCATGAGCACAGGCACAACCACAAACACAATCATGTGCACAAGCACAAGCATGGACATGATCATGAGCACAAGGAGAAGCACAAACACACTCATGAAGAACAGCACAAACACAAGCATGAGGAGAAGCACAAGCATGAGCACAAGGAAAAACACAAGCACAAGCATGCCCACAAGCACAAGCACAACAAGAAGATTGAGATCCCAAGCAGCAGCAGCAGCAGTAGCAGGTGAGGATCAGCCATTTTATAAAAACAAAATCCTGTCTTCATGTTCAACAATTATATTCATTGCAGTAATTATTTCAGAACTATTTTAAAATCTTTGAAAATCAAGGTGGTGAAGCTTTGCAAAGGTGAAAGACTCATGCAGGACTAATTCACACCAAGATGTATTTTTTATATCCTCTCCACATGGAGAAATGTGCATCAAATGAATTTCACAAAATTAGAAATTGGATCTCAATATTTTTTTGAATACCTATATAATCAGAGATTTCCATTCCTGTATTGAATTCATTGTGAAATTACACATCACCTGAGGAGCATTGAAGAATTTGAGTCATCCTTATTGATGCAACGTTTTTTTGAAGTCCCAGGATTCTTGTGTATGCATATGATTGTAAAATGTGGCGAATATCCAATTTTTAAAGACCAAAAGTGAAATATTTTCCAATTAAATGGCCTATAATCTTACCTGGGTGATTTTTCCATTTTCTTTTCCAGTTCTTGCTTTAAATTTTGTGAAACTGTGTTGAATTTATGAATTGTTTGGTTTATTTTTCAGCATGCCATAAATGCAGACTGGCTTGAAAAATTTGGCCAAAAAACTGCTGCAAATGTTCTTATGCAGAATGTTTGCAGACTTGGAAATGTGGGTACCAATAATGATCTGGCTGCTGACCAAAGAAGAGAACCATGGAAACATTGTGTGTTGTGTTGGTGGTGGTAATTGTTTTTTTGTTGTTTTATGCTTTTATTGTGTGTTTTTTTTGTGGTTTGTCAAGATTAAAAAATGGTATTTAATTCAAAAAAACTTCCTGTGTCACATTTTTTACACAAGTCATTTACCTTCAGCAGAGCTATAAATGACTGAATATGAAGAGTGGATTTCATCTGCCAATGTTATAAAGTCCTAATACACATTTTCAAACTGTCATCTTAGATGATACAAAGCAACTTTGAACCTTAGCTGTTTTTATCCCTCATGATGAAAAAAAAATACATATATGGAGCAGTTTTCAATGTTTGTCACATATACTCATAATCAAGGAAGAGATGAATGGGATATTCTTACATACTTGAGTACTTCCATGACTTTGAGGCATTTTTTTCAGTTACATTTCAAAATGAGTTTAAAAATGACACAATTCAGCAAATGATCAAATTCAGATGAAGAATCCCTGGTCAAGAATTAAGACTTTTGGAAAATGTTTCAATCTACAATAAATTTCTGAACTAATTGACCTATTTATCATATACTTTGCAGCATTTAATTGAATGGCATCATCAGACTTGATTTGTGATGGTGAATATTGCAAATTTTCATCATATTCTTTGTATAATGAATTGGTGCATGAAATAGCCTTTTTGTGGTAGAATAAACTATTGAAATTTATTTTTGGAAAACTCCACAAAAAAAAAAAAGGTTCATGAGATGTACTCAGTATTATTCTCTGGAATCACTTCACAAATTGAAATATTTTGAACATCTGATGAAATGGGAAAAAGGAGAAAAGTCAAAAGTCTCCAACAAGATTTCAAATCCTCATTTTTTATTTTCTGTACATGGGGTGGGGAATACATTTTTTCTCTTCCCTGAATCTGGAAACCAAGTGCAAAAGACATACTTGTTATAACCAGAAAACTTTTATGTTTGTTTTGAGAACCTCTCTTTCCCAAATTGCTTTCAGCCTCAAGGAAACCTACAAGGGTTTCTCCTGCTGCAGCTGTTTCCTTGTTTTGAGTTCCCTCTTCTCACAAAACCCCATGTTAATGGCATGACACATTTCTCTTTGTAAAGTGAATATAAATTATCTTTCCACCACTGCCAATAGTGATGGATGCTTTTGCTTTGCCAGTTCAGGCCGGTTTGAGGTGGGCACTATTGAGACTGTAGCATTAGGCCCCACCAGGCAAGACTCTCAGAAAAGTAAAAAATGAAATTTCCCAAGCTTTTGACTTTCAAATTTAAAATTCCATGAGTTGGGGTGTTCAAACTTTTGAGAGAGTATAAAAATTTT